TTGACCACTGAACCATGAAAATGAGGTCAAGGTCAGATGACACCTGCCAGCTAGACATGTACACCTTACAATCATTCCATACACCAACTATAGTAGACCTATTGCATACAGTATAAGAAAAACAGACCAAAACACAAAAACTTAACTATAACCACTGAACCATGAAAATGAGGTCAAGGTCAGATGACACCTGCCAGTTGGACATGTACACCTTACAGTCCTTCCATACACCGAATATACTAGACCTATTGCTTATAGTATCTGAGATATGGACTTGACCACGAAAACTTAACCTTGTTCACTGATCCATGAAATGAGGTCGAGGTCAAGTGAAAACTGTCTGACGGGCATGAGGACCTTGCAAGGTACGCACATACCAAATATAGTTATCCTATTACTTATAATAAGAGAGAATTTAACATTACAAAAAATCTGAACTTTTTTTTCAAGTAGTCACTGAACCATGAAAATGAGGTCAAGGACATTGGACATGTGACTGACAAAAACTTCGTAACATGAGGCATCCATATACAAAGTATGAAGCATCCAGGTCTTCCATCTTCTAAAATATAAAGCTTTTAAGAAGTTAGCTAACGCCGCCGCCGCCGCCGGATCGCTATCCCTATGTCGAGCTTTCTGCGACAAAAGTCGCAGGCTCGACAATAAAACCTATGACATTTGTACATAAATTAAGGGAACATGTACAATTTTGTAAGTTTGTGTAAAATATCTGGATCAACCTTTTTTTTTTGAAGTGATAAAATATGACACAAGCCTGCCTGAATAATTCTTAATTTCATTAAAAAAAAGACATACATGTACATTTTTGTAAATAGTACACTAAATGGATAATTATATATAACCTCATCTCATGTACCTCTACCAAAGAGGCTAAAGAAACTACAAATTTATTAATTATGACACTGACAATCTATAAATCACACAATAACAATCAGAAATATTGCATCATCAATGAAACAGGGCAGAATTTTCAAAGGTGTAGCAAATTCATTGGCACTAATCAAAGTCTAACAAATATAAATAAAATGAGAAGGGTCAATCATACAAGAAGAGAAAAAGTCTAATAAAAACTAAACTGACCCCACAATGGTATCAGCAGTATAGTCTTCAACATACCATACCTCAAGAACTTAATCATTCAGTTTTCTGTATTAAATATTTACAGTCTATTATATAAACAAAAAAATGGTAGGACCAGTAATTAACTAATTAAGAGGTAATTTTTTTAATGAACATCTTTGATAGTCAATCAAAAACAATAGATGTGTTTACAGATACCAAACTAACCCTGAACCTTTTTTAAGCACAGAGTTCCTGTTTGTTTACAATTTCACAATGGTGTTCCTATTAAAGAAGCCTGTGTCGCTCACCTGTATCTTCAACAATGGCCACTTTTCAGTAAAATCAATTAAACAGGAATAACTCTTTTAATTTAAAAGTTTCTATTTATCTATTAGTTTTCAAGATTATAGGCAAAAATTGCAAAAAATGGTAAAAATTATCATTAAAGGGCAATAACTCTAATAAAAAATTGATTGAAGATTTCGACCATTATGGGTTCTATGTAAATCATGTCTTGTTAATCATTTTTCTCTATTAAAAGTCTGTCTTTAAGATATCAAAATAAAAGGCAAAAATGCAAAATAAATTGGGAAAAATTGTCATTAAAGGCCAATGGCAATGACTTCAATAAGGAGGCAACTAACGATTTTGATCAAGTTGAATTATTTGTAGATCTTGTCTTGCTGATAATTTTTCCTATTCTAAGTTACAATCTATCTATTATAGTTTTTAAAAAAATATTTGGCAAAAAAGCAAAAAAATGTATAAAAATTGTCATTAAAGGGCAATAACTTCAATAATGAGTCAACTGACGATTTCTGCCATAAAGCTTGTTTGTAGATCTTGTCTTGCTGATCATTTTTACTTATTAAAGTTTTTATCTTTCTTGTTTACAAGTTTCCATCTATCCATCATTGTTTTCAAGATATTAGACAAAAACACAAAACATTTGTAAAATTTGTCATTAAAGGGCAATAACTCCTATAAGAAGTTGTCTTGACAGTTTTGATGGCAACAAACAATATGTAGATTCCATCATTCTGAACATTTTTCCCCTAGTCAGATTTTATCCATGCCGGCCATTCATAGCGGTTTTCACGATAATAGACAAACCTTTTATTTTACCCCATTGTTATTTTTTTAGCCAAGTGATGATGATGGTGGCCTGTTGATGACTGTGTTTGTATTTTTCCTGGTGATTGTGACGATGAAAAGGTGGAATGTTGATGACAGTGCATGCATTTTTCCTGGTGAATGTGACTAAGATGCAAGACATTTAATGAATGTGTTTGTATTTTTCCTGCTGGTTGTGGCGAAAAATGGTGGATTGCTAATGAAAGGGTTTATGTTTTTTTTCAATTGTTGATGACTTTGTGTTTGGTGAGATGTTGATAATTGAGATTAAATCAAAGAATGAAGCATTGTTGATGAAAGTGACTGTGATTTGTGAATTGTTCATCACTGTGATTGTGATTGGTGAACTTTTGATGAATAAGACAGCAATGGATAGATTATTTTGAATACTTTGACTTTGATTGGTGGATTGTGGTTTGTTGATAAATGATAATATGACTGATGTACTGTTGGTTGTGACTGTGACCTGTTTGTTGTGACTGGGATTGGTAGATTGTTAATGAACGTGACTGTGATTGGTGATTTGTGCTTGTGACTGTTGGATTTTTAGGACTAACTAAATGTACTGGATGTTGATTACTGATTAATTTGGGGCCTTTTTTTCTTTAGCAATTAGAAGGAAAGTTGGCTAAATGTCCATAACATAGCAACCCAAATATTGCTGAGTATTTTGACTAACCGGTTGATTATTGATGATAGTTACAATCATTACATGTATTAGTGTTATATAAATGACTGACTGAATATATGGTTCATGTACAATGTATTGCTGATTTATACTGATTTATATGGTTTTTTAAATGATTTGTTTGAAAGAAAGAAAACGTAAGAACATGTATACATGTTCATGTAAACATCAGTAAAATTGCAAGCAAACCAAAATAGAAATCTAGAGGGCCAAATAGTCTTCAATGATGAACAAATGTCCCTCCTGTACATGTATGCGTCAAGCACTAAATTGCTCTTAGCTACATGTACTTAGTCTACAAATGTAAACAGGCTGCAAATGAATTCAACTCAAACTTTATACATGTATGTGTAAAGACGATTTGACATCAACATAATGGTGTAACATCTAAATGTTTTGTGAAAGGTGACTGATCTACAATGTACATGTAGTTTAGATAAGATAACAAAGGGACTGAAGAATGCCAGTGGCTGAAACGTCTAAAAAATGGTTTAAATATACAGTACATGTACTATACTACATATATATATATAGCTACAACAAATCACCATAATGAACAAAGATCATTGAGAAACAATAGCTACAATTGACAAGATTTTAGACTTGGGAAAGAAACATTTCAGAGTTTAAGTAGTCTTGTAAGTAGGTACAATAAACCCTTACCCATTTAACTCTATTATTGGATATATCAGTGAAAAAAGTTGTAATAACATTGGAAATATCAATGTATAGCGTATATCAAGATCAGATTTGAAGAAAACATGGGATTGTTTTCCAAATTATGTCAATAAGAAGACCATTAAACATGTACATGTAGATCAAAGAATGCTCCACTACAACTGTCTGATCAGTAGACTTTAAAGGTTGTGACTTATGAATCACTTCAATGATTGTCAATTATTAGTTTTATTACTGATTTTTTTTGTTGCTGGTTGGTGAAACCAACATTGATATTGATGGATTTGTAGACTGCAACTCATTTTCTGAATGGCGCTTTGTTTTGACTATAATACATGTATCCCTTAAGTGTGTCACCTCAAGTGAGGAACACAATTATGAATTGTAAACAAAAAATCTCTCATCCATGATACTGGACATGCGACTATTTTAATGAAATGACAGAATTTAACCATTTGTACTGTTATATAGTGGAGATAGGCCATAGAATGTGGATTTAAAAGCTATGGAGTTATCAAATCTTGGCGAATTTCATGGTGTAAAAAATAAGATCTTTCACTCAGAGAAGACAATTGGGCTTTTTAAGTGTGCCTAAATGTGGTAAACATTTATCTCTTCTCTTCTTTTTCTTTATATAAAGAAAAACATCAACTGGTTGATTACTTCCTCATATGGTACCCCAAAATTCCAACCACATACATGTATACATTTGTACATGTATGTGAAAACGAAATAAGCCATTGTCTTGATACAAATCCAAGTTTTGGAAATAGATTGCGGAATTGAAGAAAACCTTACTATTACCACCTACCAATAATGAATTGACAACATTGCCAAATCAGTATAATGGAACACTTATATTATCTATATATCTAAATACATCTTAGGATGTATGAAAACATGCAATCACAATAGGATGGATGGATACCTCATATTCTTTTTTATCTAATATAAAAGGAAAAAGTGTGTGTGGATATGAACAAAAACAACATGTAAGATTTGAATGTCCCAATATCATCTACATTAATTTTACAATTAAAAACAAATGATACTCTAAAAAATACAAGGTAAATAAATAAGTGTAAGAAACAAGCCACACCTTCCACACAAGAACAGGAAAAAACATAGTGTTCCCCTTCCGAAAAATAACTTTAAAGAAAATATTAACATACAAACAATATTTTGCTATGGTCTTTTTCAACAGATTAATATACTTCTCCCATATTTCACTACAGCTGACAAATTGATTTCAGTTCTGAGACGGTCCCCAAACATACATTGCAAACAACTACAGATTCCATGTATGGGTATTTTACTAAATATCTGAGTTAATAAATTCGCTTAAAGGTGTTTCATTGCATTACGTTAGAGTTCGTGTCATTTATTCAGTTGAATAACTTGTATGAATAATACTTACAGCAAGGTCTGGACAGGTTACATCTTTCAATGAAACAGCTCGAACAAATCCAGACCGCCATTCCCACTCACAAATTTTGTTAACTTTTAGTTTTCCTGGGCTTTGAACTGATAGAAATCTCTTCCCTACTAAATCCTCTCTACACTTAAAAGCCATTTCATTCACCAAGAACCCATATTACATTTCACATTCTTCCTAAATCACAAAACTTTACAACAAAATTCCTTCGTATCTTACACTGTCGTACGCAGCGTATGAATTTACAACACACATATTTGACACGGGGTCAATAGGTCATGTTTTATCAACAAATGGAGAAAATATAGTTCGTTCGTTTAACTGGAACTGCATGTTTGTATATTGGTAAAAACTTGCGGATATTTTAAGAGAGCTTATATCAAGTTCACTTCATTTTATATTTGACAGATTTTCTTGAAGTAAAATTATTTCAAATCATGGCATGTCTTAACATGTGGACTAGTTATACAGTAATGCCTAATGGCACTGATTTTAGCAGACATCTTTTATATCCAACAGACTGCATTCAACTGCACTTGACACATGCTTTGGGATAAGAAGGCAATGTGGACTGACCAAAAGGACGGATATCATGATGCATTTAATATTGCGCAATTTTCGAAACATCCGCGCATGCATTGTCCCTTGGGTAAACTCGATTTTGGAGAAAGGTTTTAAAAAGTTACAAGTAACGTATATAGCAGGATCAATAATATGGTAACAGAACTTTACTGAAAAAATGAAGAAGGTATGTACAAGAAAAAAGTAAAATCACAAAAATACTGAACTCCGAGGAAAATTAAAAAAAGAAAGTCCCTAATCAAATGGCAAAATCAAAAGCTCAAACACATCAAACGAATGGATAACAACTGTCATATTCCTGACTTGGTACAGGCATTTTCTTATGTAGAAAATGGTGGATTGAACCTGGTTTTATAGCTAGCTAAACCTCTCATTGGTATGACAGTCGCATCAAATTCCATTATATTGACAACGATGCGTGAACAAAACAAGAAGAGACATGGATAGGCCACCGGTGACGTCTGATGCTTAGACCAAGCAAGCATCGGTGAAATCATCAGATTGAAGAATTATGATGAATAGGTTTCCAAATACCACGTTAAGAAGCTAGATATTATATATCAAGCATATAGACTCCAAAAATGAATCATAACTTCCAGACATCCTGTGACAACGACTGACCGAAAGGGGAGGGGGGGGGCTCCAGTCATGCTTCTGTGATTCCCTATATAATCAACCAAATTTTTCCCACGAAAAGGGGGGGGGGGCGGGCCCCCCAGCCCCCCTGGATCCGCCTATGAGACATGTGTCTATAAATAAATTTAATAAAAAAATTTTGATGAAATATCTTCTATGGCAGGTGGCCAAAAAACACTACTTTTGAGTCAAGATGATCTAATATGCTATTCAAATTTGCTAATCAAAAAAATTAAAACTCATTTCCTAATCCGAATTTTTATGAAATTTCCATTATTACTGTATTTAAAATTCCATCAGATATATTTGCAGTAAGTATTCAATGAACCTGGAAATATTAGACCCAGAATGAATCCTTGAAAATAAATAAAGTTTCAAAAATCTTTTGATAGTACTGTAGCAATGAAGAAAAAACATATTTCCTAGATAATATGTGAAAATTTCATGAAAATACATAAGAGAAAACAAAAAACGAATGACTTCTTGAGACATATATATATCCGTCCACCAATTGTATTAAGTATTAACGTGTCCATGTTTTATACTCTGTCAATAATTTCAAAATTCCTATTTATTTACCTCCCATGGAAAACAGAGGGCGCTGCACACTAATAATGGCAACATTGAAGAATAGAACTTTATGAAGTTATGACGTCTATTTTAAGCAGTGTCTTTAACAAACAAGAATGCTTACAGCAGTTTTTTCAAGACTTTTAGTGTAAGTTCACGTGTACCACATTTGAATATTCGTCTTAAAGAGTTGAATAGGTGAAATAATAAACGTAAAAATTGTTTTTTTTAATCAGTCAACTGACAAATCTTATAAAAATAAATCTAAGAAGATCCATGAATCAAGTTCTAAAAATAATTTGAAATATCCAGGTAACGACAACTACAAATACAAAGCCCAGTGTCACATTCAAGTTTTGATCTCTTTATTTGGTTCTGTCAAGGAGGTTATATAAGAAGGAGAGTGCACGTTAACTTGTAATTTGTAAACGTTTATTACACATAAAAATTAAAATGTGCATGTTACCACCTTTATCCATAAGTTAATATGTGGGTGTCAATTGTGCAGATTGATAGAGTGGCAATCAAAATGTAAAAATTAAAAAGAAGAAAGTATGAAATAATGAAGAATTATTTTGATTAAGCACAGAAACGATACAACAAAAACTAGTATGTCCAAATGTCTACGACATTTCTAGTGTTTCCTGCAGTTTTCCAAAAGGGCAGGGTAATTTTTTTCTCTGAGGACACTCTTAGCGATGTTGGCTACTCTTTAAGGGCAACCTTTGCGCGGACTTTGCATGTGCTACAGCATATGCAATGCAGTGCGTTTTAAATGCACAAAAGAAGTGCCAAATCAGTGTTCTAGAATTCCCCTTTCCTGTCACCCTTGGCAAGTTGATTTAGGTTACAGGAAAGTGGAAATTCAAACCTTTGTTGGCCTTGGGCAAGTAAAATTAAATTAAAGAAACTTCCTATTCATACAGATCAAACAATCGATGTAACTGTTTGTATTCTTTTATTTCAATCAAAGTCTCAAAGCGAAATTGTTGTTGTTGGTGTAAATCATGCAGGGGTTCTATAGTCTAGGGGAGAAAAACGTGCACATGTGTTTCACGATCATAGTCCTAAATACGCTTGCCAGCTAAGCAAGGAAAACCCGCGATGTCAAGTATCCATCTGATCTAGACGCAAAAACCTAATAACCGGAACGCAAACAGTAAAAGATTTAATATCCAGATCTCAAATTCATGATTTTTTGCGTGTAATGTTTGACGATATTATCCCTTTTTTGTGCCAATACATTTGAATTTCTGATGTAATGTGACATGTGTCAAACTAAAATTAATATATTTCAAAATAAAATTAATATATTCCATATTACAAACACCTCTTGATTGGTATAAACATCATTTATACCAATCAAAACTACCTTGGCAGCAATGGCTTATAATTGTACAAATAGTATAAGGATATTATAAGATTTGTATAGCAAGACTATAAATATATCCACCTTTGCCACACTAGCGTTGTACCAAACAACCACCAAGCATGGACGATAACCCAGACCATTTAAAAAGTTTCTCGATCCTTTCCCGAAAATTACCAGATTCGAGGAAAAAAGAAAGAAGAGATTTGGAAACAGATGCAACAACAGATAATACACACATAGAGCAGTCAATTACTGGAGATTAACATACAATACATAAATACACAAAGTCAAAATTATTTGGAATACCAGACAATCCACTTAGAGAAAAGAGGAAGAAAAACATAATGAACCACAGGAACCACAAAACATATTTATGAAGAAAATCTTGATCCATGGACACTTTATTAACAGAGTAAATATTAATGAAACTACCAAGATTTACAATTCCCAGAATTTGCAGCGATCATACATTTCACACTATTCCCAATGCAATTGGAAGCAGTACCTCCCTCAGAGCGAAGCCAGTTCAATTGGTACAGGATGACCAGTGAGATGTTGTCCAATTTGGAAATGAACTGACATTTTATGATCTACTTTCATCATTTCTACAACAATACCACTCGAAACCTCCATGAGAATAACTACACATACGTGTATGAATAGCAGCTAACCACATCATTAATAACTTTATTGACTAACTTTCACTTTTAACTTAACTAAATTCTTATTTCACTTTCATTTTCTATTTATATCTATAAAGTCGTCATAACAACCATTATTGTAACATTACTTCTGGCCAACTGCATGAACCACCAAATTTGTACTTCACTTTTTGATTTCATATGTAATATTGTCCTGAAGACGCCACGCTTGATGGCTAAACATGTCGACCAGAATAAACTCTTACCATGCGGTAATTGATGGGTGTTGTTGTCTTTATTATCGTTTTATATGTTATATTAATGTTAGTTAGTTGGGGGTGTCTATTGCTCACAGCAATTTCATGGCAGCAGATAGAAAGTTGTATTGTTTAGATACAATATATTGTTTATCAAAACATTTAAAAAGTTATCACATCCAGGGGAAACAAAGGCATATTTTTTCAAGTGTGAGGTAGAGGGTGCAACATGAAGGAGGTGGAGCATAAAGGCTCAAGTGAGCTATTCTCATCACATGGTAATACTTTTACAAAATCTTTTTCTCAAACATAACATGTACCAGGTACATGTATCTTGAAAACCACTATAGATAGAGATAGGAAAAAAATGTTAAAAATGTTGAGGTCTACCTACTGTCCATTTACATCAAACCTGTCAGACAACTTCTTACAGAGGTTTTTGCCCTTAAATCATTGTAAATGAAATATTTTACTAAGTTTTTTCACATTTTTGCATTTTTTATTTAAAACTAATAGATAGAGAGAAACTATTGATACACAAAACGATCATCAAAACAAGATCTACAAATAAGTCAACATGCCTGAAATTGTCAGACATCTTGTTATAGGAGTTATTGCCCTTAAAGGATGATTTTTATCAATGTTTTTGCATTTTTGCTTATCTTGAAAACTGTAATACATAAATAGAAACTTCAAAATGCAAAATGATCAGCAAGACAAGATCTACAATAAAGTCAACCTGGTCGATAAAGTCAATCAACTCTTTATAGGTGATATTGCCTTTTAATAATAATTTTTATACGCCCGTTTATGGGACGTATTATGGTATACCGTTGTCTGTCCGTCCGTCCGTCGTCAACATGTCGGACATTAATTCAAAAACGCTTTAACTAATATGCATGAAACTTTAATAAATTGTTTATATCTATTAATGTGAGCTCCCTTTCGTTTTTTATAAATTTTGGATTTACCGTTTTGGGGTTTTATTCATTAAAAAAGGGGGGATTTTCCAGTTTTCGGACAATAACTCAAAAACTATTTCACCAATTTGCATGAAACTTTTGTTAATTGTTTATATCTATTGACATGAGCTCCCTTTTGTTTTTTATAAATTTCAGATGTACCGTTTCCGAGTTTTGGGGTTTTATTCATTGAAAAAGGGGGGATTTTCCAGTTTTCGGACAATAACTCAAAAACAATTTCACCAATTTGCAAGAAACTTTTGGTGAATTGTTTATTTCTAATGACATGAGCTCTCTTTTGATTTTTATAAATTTTAGACTATATGTTTCTGATTTATGGTTTTTTTTCATTACAAAAAGGGGGATTTTCCAGTTTTCAGACAATAACTCAAAAATGCTGAAAGCATTTTTTATGAAACTTTGTTAAATTGTTTATATCTATTGATGTAAGCTCCCTTTTGATTTTTATAAATTTTCGATTTTACGTTCCTGTGTTATAAGATTTTATTTGTTTATAGTCTGACAACAGATTTACTAAGTATTGCACAACAGCACAGTGTATTGCACAACAACACAGTGTATTGTACAACAGCAAGAAATCTTTAATTGAATATAAATTCAATTCATATAACCAATTTCAAGTTCTTTGACTACATTTATTCAGAAACCTATAATATGTCAAATATTTAATTACAATCCAAATTCAGACCTGTATCAAGCTTGAATATTGTGTCCATTTTTGCCCCAACTGTTCAGGGTTGGACCTCTGCGGGTGTATCCAGCTGCGCTCAGCGAAGCAGTTTATTACATCTTTTACAAAATTTTTATTGGATAAATAAAAACTGTAAACAACAAAAACTTTTTTGCTGTTTACAGATCTTGTCTTGTTGATCCTTTTTTTGAAAAAAGGATCAACAAGACAAGATCTGCAAATACATCAACCTATAAAAATAAGAAGACTTATAATGGTATAATTGCCAATGAGACAACACTCCACCAGAGACCAAATGACATAGAAGTTAACAACTATAGGTCACCAAACAGCCTTCAACAATGATCAAAGCCCATACCTCATAGTCAGCTATAAAAGTCCCTGAAATGAAAAATCTAAAACAATTCAAATGAATATACTAACACTGTAACAGCATGATTAATGTACAAAACAATGAAGGAAACACAAATATGATATATACAACAACAGACTATATATATATATATATATAGCTATAACCACTGAATTACAGGTTCCTGAAAGACAAAAATTGTCAGTGTACTCTTAATAAGAGTTACTGTCCTTAAATGACTATTTTTTTTTTATCCTTTTACCTCACCTGGCCCAAAGGGCCAAGTAAGCTTTTCTCATCACTTGGCATCCGTCATCCGTCGTTGTCTGTTAACTTTTATAAAATCTTCTCCTCTGAAACTACTGGGCCAAATTTAACCAAGCTTGGCCACAATCATCATTGGGGTATCTAGTTTTAAAATGTGTCCGATGACTACGCCTGCAAACCAAGATGGCTGACATGGCTAAAAATAGAACATAGGGGTAAAATGCAAGTTTTGACTATTATTTTTGAAGTCTGTTATAAATAAAGAAAATCTAACAGAAGCAAAAATATTCAGAATGTTAAGCTCTACCAATTGTCCATATATGCCAAAACTGTCTGACAACTTATATGAGTTCCTGCCCATAAAAGAAAAATTTTACCTTTTTTTTCATTTTTGACTCTTATCTTGAAAACTAATATAGTATAGTAGATAGAGAAAACCTTTAAATTGCAAAAATGATCAGCAAGACAAGTTCTACAAATAGAAGTCTAATGGTGGAAATCCTCAGTCAACTCCTTCTTAGAGTTATTGGCCATTGATGACGAATTTTATCAATTTTTTTGCGTTTTTGCCTTATATATATCTTA